ATATTGTGAGTTTGAAACTTTCTTTTTTTTAGATACACTACCGTTATTAAACATTATCGTCGTCGTTGCAGACGGAGCATTTGATGACCGTAGAAGAGGTTCAGAAAAAATACAATGTCAGCTTTACGCCAGAGAAACCGGCTAGTTCGCAGGGCTTGTCTGCTGCCGAAGCCGCAAAGCGCCTCGAAGAGTACGGCCCCAACCAACTGAGTCCGCCCAAAAAACGTCATCCGTTCCTAAAGTTTCTGGATCATTTGCTCGGGCTGTTCAATTTGATGCTGTTGGTCGCTGGTGTCGCATCCTACATTTTGCTAGCCATTGACTTTGAAGGCAACAAACCAAATGTACGTTCTGCTTTGGCAATGTTGACGCTACATCCTTCCAAAAAGAAAAATTCACGTCCTATTTGCAGTTGTGGCTGGGTGCCATCTTGCTTGCCGTGGCCTTTTTGAACGCCTTTATTGAATTCTTTCAAGGTCAAAAGAGTGCTGCCATATTAGAGTCGTTCCTGGTAAGCCAGAAAGCCGTTGCTTGCAACACCAAAATCGCCATTCTGGCGTCTTCTCACTCGTTTGGGCAATGTAGAACTTGATTCCTGCAAAGTGTTATGTCGTTCGTGACGGCAAAGTCGCTCAAATCTCTGCCCTCGAACTCGTTCTGGGAGATATCGTGTACGCTCGAAGTGGAGACAAGCTGCCCGCCGATCTCTACATTTTTTCAGCAAATGAGCTAAAGGTGGACAACTCGTCCTTGACCGGAGAAGCTGATCCCCAAGAGCGAGGCCCACGAAACAGGTACCAGAATCCCTTGGAGGCGACCAATTTGGTTTTCAACGGTACACTGGTTGTGAATGGTATGTCTGCCCGAGCAAAATGGTCGATAACCATGAGCAACCTTTGTCCTCATTACTTTTTGTAGGTGAAGGATATGGTGTTGTTGTCCGAACTGGCGACAATACCGTCATTGGGCAAATTGCCTCCTTGACCGCAAACGAAGAACGTGGAAAATCTCCCCTGACCACTGAAATTGACTTGTTTGTCAAACTCATTGCTTCCGTTGCTGCTGTTGTGGCCATCATCTTTTTTATCCTCGGTTTGACTGCCAAAGGATTGAATATCTCTCAAGCGCTCAACTTTGCGATTGGCACGTTTGTCAGTTTTGTTCCTGAAGGTTTACCTGCGACTGTAACGGTACGTTGTTTTTCCCTCGTTTGTTTCGCAAATCTCGCACATTTTTTTGACAGTGTCAAATTATTTTTTTTTGATTTCTCCCTCTCTCTCTAGATTCTCCTGACATTTGCCGCAAAACGTATGGCCTTGAGAAATGTTCTCGGTGGG